GAGAATGAGGAAGCAGCATGGAGTGGCAGCAGCCCCTGTTTAAGGGGGGGTCTGAGCTCCTGGACCTGGTGCAAGCTGGGCTGCCTGCCTGCTTGGCTCCTAATACACTTTAAATGCAGAGTGGGGGGAAGGGTAAAAAATTTACTGTGGGGGAGTGAGGGGGGAATGCATGTAATCTATAGCATTAACCTATAAGCTTTTGCTTATTGGTTAATTGGTTAATCGACTACAGCATTATATCCCTAGTAAAAACCCTGTGTGCGGAGGAAGCCCCACCTCTTCTCCCAGACTGAGGATGCTCCAAGTGCTGGGGCAGTATAAAAGGCCAGAGAGAAGCTCAGTCTGGACTGTCCAGTGAAGAGGAAGAACCTCTGGCCAGAACTCTGGAGCTACAACAGCCTGTGTTCCAGACAGAGGGAATGGAAGAGCCAGAAGGAGGCTGCTACTCAGCCGCAGCGAAGCCCCAGGGAGAAGCTATGGCCGAGGAGCTGGGAGATCTAGCAGCTTCTTGGGATGTAGCTGAACTGGTAGGAAGTGACCTAGGGAAGGTGCAGGAGTAGCCTCTCCTGCCCAGGTACTCTTGGTGTGTTTCGGCCGGATTCCCAGCCGAGAGAGAGTGGTAGATCGAGCTGCTGCTCACAAGGCCCTGGGTTGGGACCCGGTGGAGCAGGGTGGGCCCGAATCCCCCTAGTGAGGCACTAACCCCAATCACATAGACTCTGACTACTAAGATGCACTGCCCTGAACCAAGGGTGACTCATAGGGTATGTCTAGACTACACCTCTCTGTCAACAGAGAGATGGAGATTAGGCACATGGAAATGGCTAATGAAGCAGGGATTTAAATATCCTGAAAATATCCTTCATTAGCATAAACATGGCTGCCACTTTTTTTCTAAACGGAGTTTTTTTGAAAAAAACAGCAATCTAGACGCGGATCTGTCAAAAATAAACCCTTTTTCAACAGATCCTGTAAACCTCATTTTTTGACGAATACAGGCTCTGTTGAAAAAGGCTTTATTTTTGACAGATCCGCGTCTAGACTGCCGTTTCCCCCCCAAAAAAAACGTGGCGGCCATGTTTATGCTAATGAAGTGTGGGATATTTAAATCTCTGCTTCATTAGCAATTTTGATGTGCTTAATTTGTATCCCTCTGTCGACAGAGGGATGCAGTCTAGACGTAGCCATAGACTCCGGCTACTAGGTCACACTGACCCGACCAAGGATGACTCGCTCACTCTGGCCATTGAGCCGTACTGCCCTGAGGCCAGGGTGTTACTGACTCTGGATGGTAGCCCAGACTTCCCAGTGACCTGGGATATCAACTCACTTGTTGTGCTGCCCCAAGACCAAGGAAATTGACAGACTAAAGAGACAGCCGATAACCCCACATCCGATCAGGTGGCGTCCTCACCCAGGAATACATTTGCCTTTTTCCAATCATCTGGGTCCTCCCCTGACTGCCACATGTTTTCAACAAAACTAGCTCCTCCCATTGCTACGGCTATGATCTAGCGCAGCTAAGTCTCCTGTGCTGGGAAACATACCTCCAGCATTAAGTGTAGACATACTCATTGGCTGTGTCTACACTGCACCCCTTTTCCGGAAAAGGGATGCAGATTAGACGCATCGGAATAGCAAAATCCGCGGGGGATTTAAATATCCCCCGCGGCATTTGCATTTACATGGCTGCCGTTTTTTCCGGCTTGGGGATAAGCCGGAGAAAAGCGCCAGTCTAGACGTGATTCTCTGGAAAATAAACCCTTTTCCGGAGGATCTCCTATTCCTACTTGAAAGTAGGAATAAAAGATCCTCCAGAAAAGGGTTTATTTTCCAGAGAATCATGTCCAGACTGGCGCTTTTCTCCGGCTTATCCCCAAGCCGGAAAAAAGCAGCAGCCATATTAATGCAAATACCGCAGGGGATATTTAAATCCCCCGCGGATTTTGCTATTCCAAAGTGTCTAATCTGCATCCCTTTTCCGGAAAAGGGGTGCAGTGTAGACACAGCCATAGTGTCTTATCCAAGACTGCAGAGCAACTCTGTGAGAACATAAATTAAAAAGCAAGACCTTCTGGCTCTCTTTTCTAGACTCAGACTTCATTAGAGTGAGATGGACACTGTATTAATGTTATTATTGGATACTGTATTAATATTATTTTGTTATTTGAGATTTATAGTGGTGTAACCAAGAGCATGTTCTGTCCTCCTATATTTATTTCTGTTTTGTAGGACAAACAGGATCTGCTGCATAAACAGAATTACTGCTTTAAATGAGAGGGAGGAAAAGGATGGGTGTGATAAAACAACAAGTAGGTGGACCAAAGATGAAAGTAACATTTCTTACAGGTACTGTTATATCACAGTCCCCTTTTGGGTGGGTCAGGGCAGTGAGTTGAGAGGTGAGAGGTTCAGGGCATGGTGTACAAGATGCAGGAGTCAAGGCAGGGGGTTGTGGGATATGGGGACTCAGGGCATGGGATTGGGGTTATGTGGGGGAGCTCAGGGATGGGAGTGCAGCCACCATGCTACCCGGCCACTGGATCCCTGGGGTGGTGGGGATTATGCTGCCCAGCTGCCTGATCACTGGGGCTGGAGCCTGGGTGCGTTGTGGTCATGCAGCCCAGGGTGCCAGCAGCATCTAGAGTCCTGACCCCAGCCGGCGAGTCTGCACTGGGGCACACTGGCTTACTTTCACCTTTGAGGTGGACTCATATAATGATTTTTATCCACAGATCTCAAAGTACCTTAAAAGGGTAGGTAAGCAGCATTCTCTCTGTTATATACTAGGACAATGGGTTCAAAGAGGTTTAATGATTTGTCCAGTTGCACAGTAACAGAAGAAGTGGGAATAGATTTCCCAGTCTGATTTAAAATCCACCAGACTACCCTGTCTTTCTGGTTAAATCACTGGAGAAATAACATTTATAGGTTAGTGAAATTCTCTCCTGGCTGCTTAAAGAGACAGGTAAGTAATTAGCCTCCAAATCTGTTTGGCTAATAGAATTACAAAACCTTAATATGTTTTCATTAAAACTTTTAAAGTATTCCCTTGCAATGCTGAAAATCCTGGCACAACAGCCTGGTGCTTCTATAACCCTAACCCTAAGTTTATCATCAAGATTACTTAGAACTTACAGGGAAGTATATTTTTATATCTGTTTTTCCTCCTGTTCTCTTTAGTTTGTCCAACCAAACAGCGGTCCAATGGCTTTAAGTCTTGAAGGTTCTATAAACAGATAAGTCATGTTAATATTTGCTGGGATAAACCAAATGCCATCAAATTTTAACTAAGTGACTAACAGTACGTATTAGAGACATATAGTGTACATAACAGAGACGCGGTATAGAATAGATGCATAGGCATGCGCACGGGGTGTGCCGGGTGTGCCCAGGCACACTCTAATGTTTCAAAGGGCTGCCCTGGTGCGCTGGGGAATGGACGCTGCACAGGGTTTGCCACACATGCATGGTTAAAACCAACGGGTCTTAGGACCCCACGGAAACAGGTGGCAGGGAGCAGAATCATTACCCCGCCTCCCCAGCAAGCGAGGTAAGTTTAAACCCTGGGCGGGAAGGCGGGGATGTGTGCCCACTCCCGGGAAGGGGATGG